TTTCCTAGTGAAATAAAATGTAAAAAATCCACACATCTATTAATGATGGCTGTAAAACGTCTGCACAGATTATGCAACTCAAACCACTAAAATAATTTCCCACATTTTAGCACCTGGATTGATAATTATACCCCTAAGTATTATGGTAAACGACTTTGTATTATAGTAAAACGACTTCAAATAAAATCATAAATTGATTCAAATAAAGCATGAAGTTACATTGATTCCGGGAGCGGGTTAAATATCCAGTCAATACTTTGTCTGTTACTTGTGGTTTGACCAAGTATTTGGTTCAATAAAGAAGTAGCCTTTATTGCAGGGGGAAGAATCATTTTGCCATTTCATAATTTATTTTAGAATGAAAGAGACCAAATAAAGTGAGTCATGTCACATTTATATATGTAATAAAAACAACAAAGACTCTCTGAAGAGCACAAACTTCTGAATCTCAGTGGAGACTGATGTATAGTGCTGTCCTATATACAACACAATGTCAGCGCTGTTTTGGTGTACCCAAAACAAATTTGGTTTTACTCGGTTAAAAAGGATCGAATGCCACATTTGTTTCACTACAAAATGTTAAATATATTTGCTCCCAGACTACAATTAGTGTTTGTTGGTGACGAATCCATTACTGACAAAAGAAGGATGATTTAAGAAAGATCTCTTCAACTATTATGAGTACTTTAGTCTTAAGGGTAAGTCTAAACACAAAGTCACACAGTATGAGGGGTATCTCTCCGGGCGGACAAGGAACTTTAGGATGGTATGATGACAAAGAGCACCATGTAAACTACAAAAGATGTTGTATAGATTCTAGAATTACAACTCTAAGCTTTAGTACCCGCGGCCACTTGAGCCCTGAAACAGAAATGTCAACCACCTTGTTTGTCACCTTGGCACAATACCTCAGTCTGATAAGCCTCAGTAATAAAATCACATGAAACAAGGCATTTCCTTCATCTCAAACTTTCACAGAAAAAACAGGAGTGGGTGCAATACAAATGTGTAAGGATTTATAGATACAGTTAATCCCTACACATCGACACACTGTTCTGCAGTGAAACATTACTCTTGCCATACAACAAAACTAAGTGAAGGTTATAGGTACCTGAGACCTCCCTTGGTCCTGGTAGATGGTTGTCTGAGGATGAGCAGGGCCTTGACACAAGCAAGAAAAATTACATTAATGATGGAAGAGCAATGTGCTCCAACGGTACATATTCTGGCAGAATGTCTGCTTTCATGGCTTTTGAGATAAATGAAAACATAAGCACTCTGTTGTGGTGGTTGGATAGTGATGACATTTTTATCAAACCATTGTGTTTGTTAAAAGGACAACACAAATGACCTAAACGACTCAACATTTACTCTGACGGTGAAATGGGACAGTTTAATTAACAGTTACTGCAGTAAATGTTCCAGAATTAACTTAGGCTAATTTAGATTTTTAGCTCACAAGTTGACACAAATAGGTTTGAATGGTACCAAAGGAAACTACTCTACCACAAAAAAAATCTTCATGAAATATATATTTAGGTTTTCTAAACTCACCTACTTTTTGATTGACTAAATTTTCAAATTTGAATTTGAAATTTCAGATACAAAAGGACAGTATTAGTGGAAGCAGATCCATGTATCACAAACACCGTGTCCTAAACAAACAGCAGCCACAGTCAAAAGTCAGTAGATGCTTATAGTTTTATGGCCACACGTTAAAATAACATCTCTCTTCATCACTGAAGGACACACAGACTCTTCATAAATGTTCTTATGCTCTGTACACATTATAACCACACGTATTCCCATTAATCCAGCACTATTATAAACACATATGACACACAGGACAATATCCAGGCGACAAAAGCTGTGATGAAAATCCATGCTTATTAATAAAAAACCCTGGTTACAATAGGACTGTAGTGCTGACGCTTCACCTTTGTCTCTAGGAAATTATATTGTTTGGGATTGCTTCCTTCAGAGGAAAAGGAAGAGGCAACATAGATCTGTCAGGAAATGCAAGAGAACAGAGAAAAATATTTAAAAAATAATGGGGGGACGTTAAACTATGAAAAATACAGGTGATTTTCATAAAGTAAAAAACAGAAATATGTTCATTTACAGTACTGGTCTGAAATGACTCAATATGGTATTAATACCTAGATGGCATGGCCTGCATCAGTCCTGTTAAACATAAAATGTGTTTGCAACTTACTCAAACATATTTATTATAGCCAGTTCCATTCGACAGCCAGGGAAAACAGCTTTAATTCCTCCTGGGCATGGATTGATGGTTCCCTCAAACAAACTCCCACTTTAACCAGGACTTGGCATCTTGACATAAAAGACCACAATGATCTAAATTTAAATTTTATTGCCATATATATCCACACATGTGAGAAGCTGGGAGGGACGTGGGGTCAGATGCTGCTGACCATCACTCCCTCACACCACATTACCAGGGTTGGTGTCATCAAGCAAGCTCAAAGCCAGTGGACTGTGTTAAACTATCTTTGTAGGAACTGTACTCTTCAGAAGGCATGAGTAGTGGTAAGGAACTTTCTTTGGCTATGTTGAACCTTGCTTGTTTTTCAAGCTCTAACCTCAGCATTTGTCATATACTACTGCTTTTTAAAACGCATGTATATCTCCCATAACTTTCCCAAGTACGGTAGTAGGTCCACTTGGGTGACGTGTTGGAAAAACCTGTCAGCTTGTTATTTTCAGCAATCTTTTTCTTCATGTAGTAACTTGTCTTCCCTCTTTGATCTCCTAATGGTAAAGCAAGAGCTTACATGATCGGAGCGTAAATGCAACATAAAGATAGTCTGTAGATGTAGTTTTGATGGGTTTTCATGACCTCTATGTGATGGGGGGCGTTTATGGCACTTATTAAGCTGTCTGGTAAAATGCCTTATAAAGCCTTCCACGACTGACACACACCAGCTTGCTTTGCTGCCATGTTTGGGTTCAAACCAAACCAACACTGATGCTGGTATCAAGGGAAGGAGCATTTTCTGCAAAAATCAACACTAAAGTCAATACAAATAACCATAATGAAGTCTTAACAATTTTATAAGTCAGAGTTGGTCAAATCTGCTTTATAGTGGAGTTGAGTGTGCTTAAGGCAACAGTGGGCAGCTCTGGGTCACAACAGAGGACAAAGTCTCCGACTCCCAGCTTTGACATGGCCCATGGCGCCCCTTCGCCCTGTCTGTCACTCACACACTATTTGGAATCTGGGACATGGGAAATGTAAATATCTCAAAGGCAAATAATTTTCCTAGGTTTGTACTTAAATGGCTTCTGAACTTTTATGTTCATTGAGAAATGGGAATTCTCAGGCCATAGTATATATAATTTAACAATATCCATCCATCTTCTTCCCCTTAATCCATTTCTGGGTTGGGGGGTGGCAGTCAGAGCCCCTCACTGATCCTCCTGCAGGTGGTGAGTCCACAGGACGATGGCTGATCTGTCAGTGACAGCACAGCCTTGATCTTTCAGCAGGGGCTTCAGGCAAAGTGGGGTTAAGTGTCTTGACCAAGGACACAACAACAGCAGACATTAGTAGGAGTCGGTGGAGAAGGCTCAAAGGCCAATGCTCTACCAACTGAGCCACTGTATTATAATAATATTCTTATTTTAGGATATAAGGGTATGGACTTACTTATACATATCTATTGACCAGTTATGTTTTTTTAATGGATTTATTTATTTACTTTTGAATTGTTCCTTGCCGATGCTAATGCTATCTGGGACATTTATGGACATTAGTCATACCGCTCCTATGTAGTTGCATTATGTGTTCAAACGACTTGATTCTCTGATCTGTTGCTGGCAAATCGACAACTTTATAAAGTACTAAGACTAATTAAATTTAATTATCAGCACTTAAGATTAGTAAATACACAAAATATTACACAGAAATAAAATAATTTAAACTGTGCATTACTAAAATTTTGTAGTGGTTGAAACAATTAATAATCCAATGTCATCGAGTGTGAAGGACCAAAGCCCTTATAAATAAATAATTTCCAGCACCTCACCTGCAATGCCTCGACTTTTTATTGTAAAATAACAGGTTAACAAGAGTGAGTGATGAAGAACCAAAGTAGTTTGTGCCATAACTAAAATTGTATTGAAATGGAACAGTTAAATTGTGCAACAGTTTTACTGACCATTATTCTCACCTCATCATGTCCTTCTCTTTGCACAGTGCACCTGCAGCCTCCTCCAGTGCCAGTGTAGTGTCAGCGTGACCGGTGGGAGCAGTGATGGGGGATTGGAGTCTCCTTGGGAACTTCTTAGAGGAGGTCCAGGAACACTCCACATCAGTTGGAAAAGTCTGGCTCACTGTGCTGTTCATTTTCCGGATCTTGGTTCTGGGCACAGCAGCAGAGTCATCCTGGGGCGATGAGCAAAGCGACTTCCTCTGTGACACCCAGCAGCCCGGTTGTACCAACGTGTGCTACGACAGCGCCTTCCCCATCGCCCACATCCGCTACTGGGTGCTGCAGATCGTCTTTGTCTCCACACCGTCGCTTATATACATGGGCCATGCTATGCACATTGTACGGCGGGAGGAAAAACGCAAACGCATGGAGGAACTGGAGGAAGGTGGAAGTGAGAGGGGAGAGGACATAGATGGGGAAAAGGCGTATCTCCAACAAAAGGAGAATCGGAGAGAAGTGTCCACTCAATTGCCGGGGAGAGTGAAGCTGAAAGGAGCCCTGTTGCAGACCTACATCTTGAGCATCTTAATCCGAACAGTGATGGAGGTGACGTTTATTGTAGTGCAGTATCTCATTTATGGGATCTTCCTAAAAGCCTTGTATCTATGCAAGTCGTGGCCCTGTCCGAACCCAGTCAACTGTTACATGTCACGTCCCACAGAGAAAAATGTCTTCATCATTTTCATGCTGGTAGTTGCTGGTGTGTCTCTACTGCTTTCAATACTAGAGCTCTATCATTTGGGCTGGAAGAGCATGAGAAGATGTATGCACAAAAGGATAGCGCAGAAGAAAGCAGTGACAGTGTTGATGTCTGCAGCTCTAGAGCTGAACAGCCCACCGAGGCCTTCCACGTGCACACCACCCCCAGACTTCAGCCAGTGTTTAGTGGAACAGAGCTCCATGGCCTCACATCCATTCAGCAACAGGATGGCTTTACAGCAGAACTCAGTCAATCTCGCCACAGAGAGACACCGCAGCTGTGATAACGTTGAGCGTGACGGGGACTTTCTACAAATAAGGTACGAACAGGTACCAACACAGCTGCCCAACAGCTGCTCTCAGCCCCCAGTGATGCAGCAGAGCTTCAGTAAAGACAAGAGGCGTCTGAGCAAGACCAGCGGGAGCAGCAGTCGGGCTCGCCAGGATGACCTGTCTGTATGAACTCTGAAAAACACTGAGAAGATTGTTTGAAAATGAGCTGAGAGTATGATGTATGATTTTTTTTTAGATATGATTTGTAAAATGCTTTAATGCTTGAATAACAAACTGCAAAACTACTTTACAGGGTGTTCTGAATTAAGAATGATTGCACATAAGGTCAAGTAAGACCACAAAATAAATCTCCATTTGTCCAGTGAGTATTAACAGATTCCAGATTCACAAAAAGTGAAGAGGTTTGTTGTAAAATTATGATACATACAAGTTATGGCAAAGTGCCTTATTTGGGATTCCGATTTTCCAACAGATTATTACTTTTTTGGTATTAATCTATCATGAATAGAATACTTATGAACTAAATATTGTTTATAGGCATTCATCATTATGAAAACAAAATCATGAATATAATATTTGGGATGAAAAAGTAACTAAACAGAACTTTCCATAAAACTTCTAAATCGATGGTAGAATGTAGACGCTGTCATATGCAGAAGAACCTGGCCACTAGGTGGCAACATTGCACTTCTCCTCATGAGTTTTATTGTTCCATATTATGTAAATAATGTTTAAACTTTGTATGTGTTCATATGGTAAATTGTGCTTTCTTGCGTTCAATCATTGTTTTCAGAAGACTTCTTACCATTGCTTCTTGGGGGCAATCCTTATCGTCCTGTTTCTTGTAACGTTACTTTCTGCAGACAGATGTTGTCATAATCATGTCAAAACCAGAACTCAAAACATTTCATGAAAATAAATAAAAACTACATTTAAACCTGCTCTTTCGTTTTCATGTTTCTGAATTTATGTAACGTTGTAAATTAGCAAGGCGCCACAAAGCTAACTTACTCAATCTAACTAGTCCCAAACTTCCAAGTAATTGAAAGCCATATGAAAAACGCATCATAAAGAAAAGGGAACTGCCAAAACGCGTCAATTTTGAACATATTCTGTTTCCAAAGTGTACTTTAAGACAGTTGTAACACCGTCAGCAGCAGCAGCAGCAGCAGCAGCAGCAGCAGCCGTGGCGGCAGCAGCGGGCAGCTCGTGCGTCTCCCGCTGTAGATGAAGAACGGACTTATGGGATTTGTAGTTTTCGCCTCCCTCCTCACTACAGCCCCCATGATGCTCTGCGGTACGAGCCGGTGACAAGAGTTGGGTAACAAGCGAGAGAACACTAAATACAGCTCATTCCGCTTCCAAACGCAAAGTAAGTCTATATTTTGTCTGTTGCGCCTCGCTTAGGATCATATATCTTGCATAATTGTTTGTAAGTTTGGCTAGATTAAGTACATTATAGTTGTCTGTATGTCCAGAGGAGATCTTTCAGGCTTCATGACTGCCCGGATATTAATGAATTAATTCAACCTTATAGACCAAAACTAATTGTAATTCACTTTCTTCAATTGTACAATTATGTTACTATTTGATTAAACTGAATTATTACTAGTGTGTTTTTCACAACGTGTTGAAGCTTTCATAATAATGTAATATGCAACGAAATAGTAATAGCCTTTTTTGATAGCTGTAGTATAATAGTTGTCCTTACTTATTATTCAATGATCAAAAGCTAAAGTTACGCAGCCAGAACAAAACCGTGTCTTATCTATTTCTACAAAATACCTCTGTTTCCCTTTTGATAAGCTTTATATGCATAAGGGGCTATGACCAGTGTTGGGCAACTTACTTAAAATTGGCAATGCATACAACTAGTCACAGGGAGAAGAAAAGTAGTATAATTGTTTTGCAATATTATAGTAATCAATTATAGTATAGAACTCTCACTGCTATGAGATACCTTTTAAAGGCAGAATCACTAGTTATCACTCTAGTTATTTATGTATGAGCGCAAGTTTTGTGTATTACTACACTAAGTTGTCCATTCCTCCTTAAAAGAATATCCATCCATTTGGGGGGGCAGTCAGAGCTGCACAATTTAACAATTTAATTAGAAATACAATAAAGAATAAAACAAACACTACGAATGATTTGTGGTAGTCCCTCACAAAAGCAAACAAACCTTTTATTACACAAAACATGACTACAAGTAACCATGGTTTAAATCTTGATTTCAGTCATGAAAAAACTGTGGGTGAATGCTGGCATTTTGGGCTCTGTTTCGGCTGCACTTGGCTCAGTTCTGTGGTCACAAAAAAACAATGAATCCGATCAGACAAGAACAGATCCCTCTTCTCCTTATGAACTTCAACTAGTTCAAGTGTTGTTCCGACATGGTGCACGGACCCCCCTGAAGTCCATCCCTAATGTCATAGAGGTACATTTTTTGTGTTATTTCAAATTATGTCATATTTTAATTGTTTAATCCTTCGTAATTGTTTTGAAGGCTCAGTGGGTACCAACTCTTCTGGAGCCTCCCCCCCACACACACATCAATTATGTTGTAACAGATCTCAGTGGTGGTCCCAGACCTCCTGCTCCTACGGAAGAAAACTATCGGAAAAGTGTCTTGACCGTGAGTAGGTGTGTTTTTGATAGAAAGAAATATTAAGAATATTTGTAAATAATAATTTTCCATTCTGTATGACTGAACCAGTTAATTTTAACTCCAGACTCAACAAATGTAGATTCTTGAATTCTTACTCCATCTAGTGGCGATGAAGACACATTGAAAGTCTTCAACAGTGACTGCGTTGTGGTTTAATTGTTTACATTCAAGTTAATTGCATTATTACATTCTTGCTGAGAGTGCAGCACATATTTGTGAGTTTGACAAATTATCTGATTGTAACATTATTGTGTTTCTGTGGCAGGGTGGCTGCTTTCCTGGTCAGCTGACCACACTGGGCATGCAGCAGCTGTATGAACTGGGCCAACGGTTAAGACAGAGGTACATTGAAGACAGTGCATTCCTCTCTCCTGAATTCACCCCAGCCGAGGTTTAGTAAGTGTTCTCAGGGCAACAGAAAGCATACCAATATACTTCACAACTGCTGAATGTAAATAAATATTTGTTCTTACATCTCATTTCATTGTATAGTGTCCGTTCTACTAACATCTGGAGGACAATTCAATCTGCCAAGTGTTTGGTAGCCGGACTGTTCCAGCAAAATCAAAAAGGTAGATGTCCAACAATACCTGCACAAGACACCACATTAATTGCCCTCCTCATATAAACATATTGATTTGTTTCTACAATAATGACATGTAAATATCCTATAAACATTGTTTTTTTGTCACACATTTTCATGAATGAATAGTATTTTAATGCTGAAAGTGTTAGCATTTAAATATAGGGTAAGTATAGTACAATAAAGACAATGGGAACCACAAAGATCATATTCTCCTTAGAGTGAACCTAAAGCATAAATGCATGTGTGTACGTGTATTGATATGACGTATTGCACTTATGGTGGCGAGCATGGTGGCACTCTTGCCTTAGTATGGTCCTGGGTTCAAATCCCTCCGGTTTTCTCCGGTTTGACAACATCCTCCAGCTCCAGTAGTTCTGACCAATCCGAGCATCAACATCTGGAGATACGACCCAGGACGCTGCACTGTGGTGACCACCGCCCCTGACTGAGCAGTGGCCACACAGGCCTTGGCATTGCAGGATGGACAGAAACAATTTTCCTACAGGGATGAATAAACTATGCCTTTCCCATAACGTTATGGGGATATTTGGCATTAAGATCCTGCACATTATTATTTAAATTTTGCTTGTTTGTTTTGTTGTATCCCACAATATCGAGCTAAAATAAGAGAATCAAATTTATGAATTGATTTTCTTAACTTCAGTTCCGCAGAGTTGATGTGCTCATTGTTTTATTTCATTTGTTTGGCTGTTAATCATTTTTTTTTCAACCAAAGTTGATTTACTTTGGAGTAAGAAATAGATTATCACAAGTGAGTACAGAGAATTGGGCAGGAATAGATCTGTGAATCAAACATATTGTGAGCCTTGAAGTCTTGAACGCTGGGCAGTAGAGGATTACTCCAAAAATCAAGAAAACAATTCAAACATTGCCAAGATGATGGCATGTAAGCATCAATATGACGAGGTTAGAAATGTGATCTTTGTACAGTGCTGACAGTGGCTTAAGTGCATATTCTTGTGCATGTCTCCATTTGTTTTATAGAAGCTCTGCCAATACTGACCACTGGGGCTGAGGCTGAAATACTGTATCCAAACTTCCAAGGCTGTAAGCTGCTAAAAATTGTTGGCGGGTATGTACAATGTTAATTTGAAACCAGTCAAGCCCTCCTTTGCTCAACATCCAAAACTGAAATGTTGAATGTGTTGTTCAATTGTGACTCAGAGTGGAGATTTCTGTGACAGGTTGTCTTCTGTGTTGTGACAGTGTGTTGTGTGCAGGCACCGCTGGGCAGACTCGTCCACACTGCCAGACATTGCAGCCGACCTGCAGAGTATTCAGAAGGCGCTGGGCATCGCAGCGCACCAGCAAGTCGACTTCATCCTCATTAGGGACGACATGGTTGCCAGAGAGGTGACAGAGCCACATCATGATTCATATTACCATTCCCAAAAATACACCGGGTATTTTTAAGTTGGCATGCTGAATAAAAGCCTCAGGGGGAAAAAAAAGAGTTTTGATTAAATTTGGGTTAGATATGCTTTAGTCTTTTTTCAAGTATACAATAACATATGTTGTTATACTTATGTCAACAGACTCATGGCCTGCCCTGCCCACCCGCATTGGACTCTTGGAGAGATAAAGTGGAGCAGAGAGCAGTTGATATGATGAATTACATCTACAACCCCAGCCAAAGGTAAAACACAGGGTTGAGTGTGATGACATGGGTCATTTTTCTTCTCTGTAATAATTATCGTTGCTGGTCACAGGGAGAGCTTGCAGCTTTGTGTTGGTTCACTCTTGCACATTTTTTTAATAAATATTGAGAACAAACTGCAGAAGGTTTTACAGGAGCCAAACAGGTGAGACATGTTAGATATGTAGGCTCTTTTGTTGGCTATATGTCATTATACATTTTTTATGCAACAGGAAGTTGTTTCTGTACTCTGCACATGACACAACATTGATCCCATGTCTCATGGCTATGGGAATTTTTGACATGCAATGGCCACCTTATGCTGCTGATATCACTCTGGAGCTGTACAAGCACAAACAAACCAAAGAACCATATGTCAAAGTCTCATACATTGGAAAAGTAAGTATGGTTGGAATGTAAAATGTATATTTACTACTTTTATTTAACTTTCTTTTCTTTCAGGACCAGTTACTTCCTGGATGCAGTGGAGTCTACTGCCCCCTCTTAGAATTCAAGCAGGTTCTCTCTGCCCACTCCCTGAGCTCAGACCAATACCAGTCACTTTGTAACAGCAGAAAGCATTTACCTAACTGATTTATCACAATTCACCTTTTAGGTGCCAAGGGTTGTTTTTTTGATATGTCCAATAATGAATCCCTGAAACTTTATAAGATTGAATTGTAATCAAGAACAAGCATAAAATAAATAAAACTAAGAATAATGCTGAGAAACCTTTGAGAAGCCAAAATGCTGCATAGAAAGTGCCCTAGAGTCATGGGTTGATACGCAATGGTCACTTTGGCGCCTAAAGTTATGTTGTTTTAACATGTTAATAGCAGTTTATAATATACACTTTACATTGAGTAAAATGCTGTAATAGAAAACATTTGGCCTGGACCTGTCTGATCCAGCCTGGCTAACACCAAACTAAATATCATAAGTGAATGTTGTGCAGAGTTATACTCATTCGGGTGCACACTGCAGCAGGGGTATTCCCCAGGCTACCGGTCGTCGATAAATGTATGTAAATTAAACGGTCTTTTCACCATGAAGCGAAAGTTCTATGGTTTGCTCTATTTATTACAACCTTGTTTCTGTCTTGACATCAGTTTGAGGTGCTTCATTTTGTTTTAACACTGATGTATTAAAACACGTTTTAAAAAGATTTAAATAATGTAATAATTTACATCTTTATACATGTTGAATGACACACTGCAATTTGCACACACATTGTGTCCACACAATCACATCATGCTAACAGCACACTCGGTAAACATGTATACCAAAACAATATCTTTTATTTGTAGTCCATCACCACAGCCCTGGAAGGCTTTTCTGCACCAAAGCCAATGAACACATGACAAGCTTTTACAATAGAGAAAAAGGAAGCCAACTGGATGATGAGCAGTATGCCATTACATTGTGTGGCCTGTCCTGACTCCTGACACCAAACAACCACACTAAATGATAGATTTACGTAGCTCTAGTTGAGCAGCGGTTGTCTCCCATCTCAATCTGATGACCATTGGGGGGGGTTTATTGCTGTGGGATTGATTTTTACCCAGTCAACAAGAGCCAAAACAACAAGAACAAGAAACACAGCACATCTTGGCATTACAATTTCCACACTGGTAATGCAAGCCCTGTGAGTTTTGAAGCATTTTTCGGTCACATTTTCAAATGGGACTTGTGCTGCAAAGTTACCAGGATCCCTACACTATATATGCTTTGCTTTCACTGATAAAAATAGAAAAAGAAGACGCCTTTTGCAAACGGTCAATGTTTGTGCTTTTTTAATAATACTATTATCTTAATGAGGTCATAGTTTGGTTTGTTATACACTGGAGTTACAAAGAAAATTAAAATAGACTAAAATTTGAATAGCCCACCAATGGTAAACAGTACAGTATTTTGGGGGCATTCCTCCCCCCATGAAAGTTGGATAGGAGGATTTGAGAGGTCACTGAAAGATGCCTATACATACACATACACGCCAACACACAGTCTGTGAAACATTCGCCCTCTCAATCACACACAGATATACTGTACAGGAACAGTCAAAACAATGGCGCCAAAGACAAGATGGAGTTCCACTAAATTCTTCACAAAGCACAAATTTTCGTTCTCCTGTCCCATACCACTTTCTGGACAAATCTGTTTAATATGCAAAAGTAGACAGATACTGTAGCATCTCCACAAGAACTGTAAGCGTCAATTCCATTTAACATTGGAGTTAACTTTACAGTCAGATAATCAAAAAACACAAGAACAGGTTTGCAAAATTGATGCACAACAATCCCTTACATTCTTAAGTTCATGAGCCAATTTCAAATATTGTGGCAAGGTTCTCCTGTTGGGGCCAGTATAAAGTTAGACCGTAGTAGTTCCCACATAGAACATGAGTGCCATTCTATTCATTTCTGGATAAATCTTCTCATGTGTCAGTCTGGCAGATTTGTCTTAACACTATCAAGACTTTACTCTGTCTTTGATTAGTTCGAGAACATTCTAGATACAAAGTTTCTGTTGGATTAGAACATTCCAGGGCCAGGACTGAAGCCCATGTCCATGTCACGAGGCCTCATTTGACCTCCCATCATCATTGTCTGCTGAGGGGGGCCGCCCATGCCCTGCAGCGACATCATCATGTTGGGTGAGCCGCCAGGACCAGGGTGGGCCATTTGTCTACCCTGCATCATTCCACCTGGGCCCCCCGGTGACATCATTCGGTGCTGAGGCCCCATCATTCCTTGGCCCATGAATCCTGGTGGCCGCATGGAATTGTGTCCTGGGTTTCCCATAGGCATGTCTTGAGGCCCCATTCCTCCACCTGGCCCCCCAGGCATACCACCCATCCCCTGCATGGACATGCCCATCCTTAAGGGCCCATCACCCATCATGCCCTGCATAGGGAAGCCTGATGGGTGCGGCGGTTTGCCCCCTGGATTGTCTCCCCCTCCTCTTGGAAAATAAGACAAAGTCTGGCTTGGCTTTTCAGAGGGGATAATCCTGGACAGGTCAAATTCAGGAATACCAGAAGCTCCTGGACGCATTACTTCATGAAGGTCTGCGTCGCCAAATCCACCTGGCATGTTGCTAAACTCAGGTCCTCCAGGCGTGTTTGGTTTGCACATACCTCCATCACCCCCTCCCCCATGGGGCATGTTCCCCATCCGTCCACCCATAGGTCCTCCATCACCTTGAAAACTCATGGGATGTCCAGGGAAACCTTGTGGACCAGGGCCATTGTGCGGGGAGAAAGGTCCCTGCTGAGAAGGAGACTGCGTAAGAGGATATCCCTGGTTTCGGTGAGGATATCCCATGCGTCCTTGTGGCATCATTTGAGGATTTACCATGGCAGGATCCTGGGGATTTTGTGACATCATCATGCCATGGGGCATCATGCCCGGTCCCATGTTAGGAGCATTGGGAGAGGGCATCTGTGGTGGGATTCCATGGGACAGAGGTTGGGACCCCATAGGGTTCATTCCAAGAGGACTGAGAGCTGGCATAGGTCCCGAGCCACCAGGTCCCATCATTCGTGGGTTGCCTTGGTGATTGATTGACATACCTAGGTAATAAAGAACAACATGTTATTATCTGGACAACATGTACTCAGTGTTTCCTGTATTACCGTTGTTCCCTGAAGGCAGGTTGGGAGATCGGGCCGGTGGCGAGTCATCGTCAGAACTGGCCACAGTCTTTATGGCATCATGGTAGAGCGGAGTGGAGCTGGGCATGGCAAATTTTGACATACGCGACATCATGATTGAAAGGGGGTTTTGAGATAACGTGGGCTCTGGGGGTATTGTGTACGGGCTGCCAGACGGGACACTCCCAGGTAGAGACATGGGTCCAGATGGCGCTCCTGATGAAGGAGGTGCTGAGGGAGGACCATTACCACCTGTGACAAAAAAAATGCGCTTTAGGAAATCATAAATTTGTTTACTTTCGTCTGATCATTTAACACAAATCTCCTTTTGAAAGCAAAGGCCACAAGAGGGAGCTAATGTACCATTAGACTGTCTATACCAATATTGTCTTTGATACACTGATATAGCCATTTGTATATACACAATCTTTCACTATTTCAAATATGAACATTAACACATTTGTTATTATGTAGATCTTTACAATATAACTATACAGCACTATATTCATATTCATTAATGCCCATAATTGTGTATTAACAAATATGGACATTTATCATCCCACTCCCTTTGAAACAATGGCTCCTATGTGTTAACATATTTGATAACATAAAAAACATATTTTCTGCCGTTATTTGCAGTAATAGGTCAACTGGAAAGTCCTTAAAAATGGTATCAACACTTTGCATCTTTAACAATCAAAGCATTGATGATCAGGTGTGGAAAATTCATACCTTGCTCCATGTTGCCCATCATGTTTGGCGAGGTAATACTGAGAGGGGGCTTGCCACCCTGAGGTGGCACTCCTGGACTCTGCATGGGCGGCTTTGGTGATGAAGCCCATCCTGGAGATGGATTTGGAAGAGAAGGAGACCTCATATGGACTGGAGAGGCTCCGGCTGAGCCCATCATGGAGTGAGGGGACTTCATGGGTGCTGAAGTTTGTGGAGCTGGAGGGGCAGGGGGGCCTGTCGGACCAGTCAACATACCTGCCAGTTGGGACGGTGTCTGAGGGGATTTCATGTTTCCAGAAGGGGAGCCCATCATGGGTGACTGGACTTGTCTCAAAGGAGGAGACTTGAGAGGATTGACACTAGGGGAGTTGGCCCCACCTGCCTGGACGTTGAGGTCAGCTGGTTTGCGGCCCCTTTGCCCTTGTGTGGGCCCAGGACCAGAGGGGAGGTGGTTTATTCGACCATTGCCCCCTAAGGGTGGAGCTCTATGCTCTGGACCAAAGTTCTGCTCTCCATGCGGACCCCTCATTCCCCCAGGGCCACCAGGATATGGCCGCCCAGGTCCCATAGGAAAATCTCCTGGCTGCCCCTGCTCTGGGAAGGGCGGCCCCTGCATAGGCCTCCCCTGTGGACCCATATTGTCCATGGGCGGCCCACCTCCTGCTCTGAGCCTCATTATGTCCTCTGGACTCATGTTCATTGGAGGTTCTCTGAGCTTTGGAGGGTGCATGTGTGGCCCTGGCCCAGGACCAGGGCCCATGCCAAACTCTGGACCCATGTCTCTACCTCCCATTCCCTGAAGCCTTGAAGAGGGGCTCATAGGGCCGTCTACAGGTATCCGTGGAAACAAACCCATCCCATTTCCTGGTTCCATCCCTCCCCTTTGGTGACCCATCATTCTCTGCATGTCCATCATCATGCCTGGTGGAAGTCCTTTTTCTCCTGCCATACCTTGGTGGAACATTGCTTCTTGAACAGACTGAGGATTTGGGAAACGTTCTCCACGACCACCTGGACCAGCAAACATAGCCCCTGGTCCACCTGGAAACCCGCGACCATCTCCCATCCGTGAAGGCATATCATCAGGCCATCCCATACCAGGTCTTGGTGGACCCTCCATTTCAGGATTTATCATCCCAGAGAATCCAGGCATTCTCTGCATATGTGGAGCCATGCCTCTTGGACCAGGCCCCATGCTCATACGCTCTTGATAGTGGTCTGGAGGACCTCCAGGTCCTCCCCACATCTCTCCAGGACCCATTTGGTATGGTGGTGGAGGGCCTCGCATCATCCCCCGAGGACCATGTGGGTGCATCATCATGTCGGGCATGGGTCGATGTTGCATCTCCTGTTTTTTCCTTTTCTCTTCATAAAACTCTTGTTGCAGTTTCAACCAAGCCACTTGCTCCGGTGTCATCTGCTCCCCATCTCCACAGCCTCCTGGTCCACCCAAGTGTGGACCCATTTCATCCTGTGGGAACGGTGGCATACTCGGACCATGAGGAGGACCAAAGGGCGGTCCTTGGGGACGTGGTCCTCCAGGACCAGGGGGTCCCAAGCTCTGTGACTGTGCCATCATGGCCTGTAGAGGACCCTGCTCAGATCTGCGGGGGCCACCATCAGGACCTCCATCATGAGGACCACCATGGCCCTGTGGGGGCCCAGGCGGTGGAGCGTCCCGATCGTCAGGGAAAAGCATGCGCTGAATGTCTCTTAGAGTTTGTAATGAGCGTTGCCGATGCTCAAGCTGCTCTTGGGACAACCCTTCTGTGTTGGCCTCCATGTTGAGAAGCTCCTGAGCAAGCTGCTGCTGTTGCTGCTGCGGGGTCAGGCCTGTCCCTCCAGAACCTCCACCGGGAGCCTCTGCTGATGAGGGGTTGAGACCAGCCTCAGTTTGGGAGCCTGGAGCCTGGTCCACTGGTGCTGTAGTGTTACTTGGACTACTGCCAGGAAGATTTTTGGATTCTATGCCGGAAGATAACCCCTCTTGTGGAAGAACACCCGTTTGGACTCCTTGGTTTGAAGATTGAGATGCGCTTGCCTCTACCATGCCAGGCAAGGATGGCTTAGACCCAGCCTGGAGACTTTGTTCTTGGACATGAGACGGTTGCTGAGAAGGCTTGGACTCGTTCCGAAGATTGCTTGCTGCATTGTTCTGTAATTACAAGGAAAACAGTAAGTAAAAGGTCAAATTTATGTAAAATAAATTCCGAAGAGTTAGTTCTTACTATAAGGAGGTGAGCCTTGTCCTTGCTATTGGAGATGTTTTTCATATGGAAGGCAATGATGTTTTCTGTATGACCAGTGAGAACAGCATCAGCCGCTCTGAAAACATGAAAATGTATCATTATAAAAAAGCAGTGACATATAAAAGGGTCAAGACCCTTTGTCAAAGTCAACCAGTTCTAAGCAGATACATCACACACACAACACAGAACATTTTTGAGCTGACTCCAATTGTGGTTATTTTAGCCAAAAGAGTAGACGGAATGGCTCAGTCACCATATACAATTACAATAAATATTCATTGTATTGTACATTGCCACTCAGATTATTCAGATCAGTATTGAATGCCAAACAAATACAAAAATCGTACTTGTTAGCCATCTCTGTAGTGAAGACATAGACGAGCTTTGAGCCCGTTTTCTGGCCGCTAGTAGGTTCTGTTGTTGAGCCTTGCCCCAGAGCATTATGGGAAGGTGTTGAGGAGCGACTAAGTCCCGTACTCGAGGTAGAATGGGTGTCTTGGGGTTTTACATCACTGTTACAGTCTAAAAAGACAAAAGCAAAATATGAGATTGGATTGATGGAATATGTAAAGTAGAAGAGCTGGAAGTGTTTTGAGCATGATTATGTTTGTCTACTTTACAATACTTACTGAAGAATCCTTTGTCATCTTCTTCGCTCTCTCCCCCAGAGCACCAGTCAGCCCCACTGTAAGGCTGCCTCCTCTCTGCCACGCACATGCGCTTTACCCTGCTGCTCTCTGGAGAGATACACAGACACGCAAATAATTAACCACAATATGATATACAATAAACTATAAATAAAGTTATGAAGTCGGACTGTCTGCCACCTTTCTCCTCACTCGTAGGCGTGCCACTCTCTGGCTGGTCGAAAGACTCCACAGAGGTACTCCTCTCCCTTTTGACTTTAACCTTCGAGCTGGGGCCAGATGTCAAACCCTGGCCGTTTTTAAGACCCATGCTCCCTGCCACACCCGAACCCCCTTTAGAACCCAGTGTCTTTGGGTCACAAGGTGATGGCTGTGATTGGCTACCGGCATTTCCTGGCTTGCTCTGATTGGGCATTTTAGAATCCATTTGGACGGCAGTAGAAGGGGACATGACAGAAGGGGATCGCACCATGACCTCTGTCTTAGGTTTAGGGCTGCAAGAGACAAATTACATGAAATTAGATGATGTCCTTGTTCTTCCCACTTATAACGTTTATTCAGCCTTAACTTCTGCATCTCACAGATACTTCTATGGCATGTTATACATGATTTGAAAGATAACTTTCTCAGGAAAACAACCACATTTACAAAACACAATGTACTCTGCCATCTGTATGAAAAATGTTCTAAAATAGAAACACACACTAAAATTTATAATTCATTCAAAATACCTCCATATATATTTGTGTTTTTCCTGCTATCCCTATTCCCACCAGTGTTCAACCAGTAAATTAGCAAAAAAATTATAAATTGTCATTGACCAGAGAAATCTCTGTCAATCTCTAAATAGACACAAGGGCTCAAAAGGATGACATTCTCTGGTTTTGCTGATACTAAATAAAATGTAATCGATTAGAACCTAAGACTATCCATGACAGCTTATTAATGCATGCGATTTTGACTGAAGAGCAGTTTGTGGACCATCTTAATCAAGATGCTGCATCTCTCCATATTATGCTTATGTGGCCCTCCTGTAGATGGAAAAACCAATTTAAACTTACAAACAAAATCTAAGTAAAATGAGATGCACAAGCTCAATATGCAATGACCAATTTATACATTTAATGAAATGGAAAATGGTCTGAAAACAATAGAACAATTACGAGCACACACAAGTTTGGGCAAGCCCCTTTTAGAGCACAGACCTCCACCAGGCTGCCTCTTTACGGTTTGATGAAAAAATAATAATAAATGATTGAGAAAAAATGCATTTTGCAATTTTGCCATAAAAACTATTCAATTATAGTCTGATGTATAAACCAAGGCTGAGTGGCCTAAATGACCAGCGCTCACCTTTGTGTATTGGTGGACGGGGAGTTTTTGAGCCGATTGGAGTGCATTGATGGAGCTCCCAGAACAACAGAACACGGCGAAGTAATGAGCTGGTGAGGGCTGCCGCTGTGTGCTGTCAGAGTTCCTTTGGCCCGAGCGTTTCTAGAGCCCTGAACAGGATTTCCAAGATTTGAAAGGTTTCGGTCTTTGGCGTCTTCCCGGTCTTTCTTTCCTCTTTCCTTCTTGTTGAAATGTGTCGCTGCTGATCCTGCCGCCGCTGGCCTCTCCTCTTGGACCTCCAACATTATCCCTCTCTCCTCGTATGTGTGTGTGTGTGCCTATGAGCGCCTGTGTAGTGAATGTAGTGTGTGTGTGTGTGTGTGTGTGTGTGTGTGTGTGTGTGTGTGTGTGTGTGTGTGTGTGTTTGTGTGTGTGTACGATTTGCGTGTACTACTGCAGGAGTCTCCCCTTCGTGTGGGTGTTTATGAAACTTTCCCAAGGGGGCTTTCAATGGCCCTCGGGCACACTGCGGAGAGAGAAGAACAAGCAAGTCAGTCAAATGAGGCACGATCAAACATCCCAAGCTATAGAAAGCTGTTTAGATTCCCCTCATTGCCCAGAGTGTAGGGATCTAATCTTTTCAGTTTTGATAATAAGCAATATTACCCAATAACAGAATAGAGTGAAATGAACTAGTTAACTTCCATATCAGGGCTAATATTCAGCATTACTACACTATTACCATGCATCATACAAGGTACAGAAAAACAAACTATGGAAAAACAAAATAAAAACTGCATTTTTTGATTTGCAACATGCTGCCGTGGCTACTCTTTCTAGGGTCAGTAAATGACAACTATTCTCTTAAACAAGGAAAGAATATTATATGTCCATCCTTATTTATTAATCTGCCTTCAAATACATTTGAAAATAGATCATTTGTTTTTGTTTCGTCATCTTCTCTTGAGTCCAACAGTCTATTCCATTTTGTAGTGTTACTGCATAGTCATCCCTGCTCTACATAACTGATCTGCTAATACAGAAGTTGGGAGTAAACACGTTTCATAATATACAGTGGAAAGTTCACTTACAATGTGTAAAAACATTTGTTAAATTTTAGATCAGGTGCAGTTTCGTTTTATTCTATTGGCTCAATACCACATGATTGAGAGATTTGTTTGATAATTTCTACAAAGTCAGAAATGCACCTACACAAAAGATAACTATGTATATTCAGTGCCTTGCAAAAGTATTCTACCTAAAAGCATTTTACCTATTTTGTTACATTACAGCCTTTAGTTCAATGTTTTTTTAATCTGAATTTCATGTGATGGATCAGAAATCAATAGTCTAAGTTAGTCTAAGTGAATTGAGAAAAATATATACATAAAACTATTTTTTTGAAATATAAAACTAGAAATTGGCATGTGCATATGTATTCACCCCCTTTGTTATGAAGCCCATAAAAAGCTCTGATGCAACCAATTACCTTCAGAAGTCACATAAATAGTGAAATGATGTCCACTTGTGTGCAATCTAAGTGTCACATAATCTGTCAGTACATATACACACCTTTTTTGAAAGGTCTCAGAGGCTGCACTAACCAAACACTGCCATGAGGACCAAGGAACTCTCCAAACAAGTAAGGGAAAGTGTTGTTGAGAAGTACAAGTCAGGGTTAGGTTATTTATTTATTTAAATAAATAACTAAGTAACTAAATCCATAGCTAAGAATAATGAAAGAAAAGTTCGAAAAGATCAGTGTTAAAAACACACATAGTAATTAGGGATGTAAAAAACTATGAATTTTCATGACCGACCACCGAGCCTCATTAACCGGTTGAAACCGGTTAACCGCGTAGTTTAAAATAGTCCACGTTCTTTGAAATAACAGCCATTTCGAGCCGCGTACTTTTCATAAGTGCAGCTCTGCGTTCTACTGGATCAGAGTTGAGACAGCGGCGCCCAAACCCGCAACAGCTCCGGCACCTTTGCGCACAGAGAATTAATAGTTACCTAATGTAACTTAAGTTCTACGAATAGGTGCGTAGTCCCTTAGGACTTCGCTAGTGGGATATCACGTGACCCCCAGGTCACACGCCAGAGAGATCAAAATAATTTGCTCCAATCACCAGCCACCCTCCTCTATAAATGCCCCTGCACAAGGCCGCACCCCCTCTTGAACTCTGCCAAGCCGGGCTGGCCTGATGGGCTCGTAGCTAAGGGACTACGCACCTATTCGTAGAACTTAAGTTACATTAGGTAACTATTAATTCTACGTCATGGTGCTACGTCCCTTAGGACTTCGCTAGTGGGACACAACGCGGAGGCCGTAGGAACATGTACTCCCAGCAGGCCAGCGAAGGGTGATTGGAGCTCCGCCCGAGCAAGGTCCTCACACAGTGAGGGGACTCAGGGCAGAAGAAACAATGCGTGTTACAGGGCCACTCCTACCAAGGATACCCCCATGTAACACAGATGTAGGTCATCCGTAGTCACAGGACGCCTCTCCCAAGGGCTCCTGACGTGGACTACCTGACCGACCAAACACACATATATGTACCGCACCTGTAGGATGCCTCTCCCAAGAGCTCCTGAACCAGGGCGGAAAGTAAAACGAAGGCCCCCTCAGAGGAGGGACCTAACGGTCTAACTCAGTCCGCTGCACTCAGCACGGAATGGGCCACCGACCGGTCCGACACATCCAAAAGATAAAACCGGACGAAAGAGGAGGACGACGCCCAAGAAGCCGCACGGCAGTCGTCCTCGACCGACACCCCCCTGAGAAGGGCCGCAGAGGCCGCCATCCCACGCGTGGAATGCGACCTGAAGCCCACCGGGAGGGCCAGACCCTGCGTCTGATACGCCCGCCGCACAGCCGTGGCGACCCAGTGCGCCAGCCGCTGAGCCGACAGCGGGGCGCCCCTGTTCTTGGGGCCCAGACACACAAACAGCTGACCACCCAACCTGAATGACGACGTCATGGCCAGGTAATGCCTCAGCATTCTGACAGGACACAGAAGGTGCCACCGCTCCTCCTCGGGGAAGGCATGCGGTGGCGGATAGAAAGCCCTAATCCTGATGACTCTCGACCTAAAGGCCGACGTGATGACCTTGGGGAGAAAGCCGGATTGGGCCACCATACCACCATGCCGTCGCCCTCACCAAAGGGCAGGCAAGACGCATGGACAGAGAGCGCACACAAGTCGCCCGCCCTCTTAGCAGACGCCAACGCCAACGCCAACAAGAGGGCCGTCTTAAAGCGTCACACTCGGGACTCGCCTCCGCCGCCGGTTCAAAAGGCGGACCCGACAGCCCCCTAAGGACCACCCTGAGGTCCCAAACCGGGGGCGTTCTCTGGAGCGGGGGCCTCCTCCTGCGTGCCCCCCCGCAGAAAACGTTTAACCAACGGATGAGAGCGGGCTGTGAACCCCCCGAATCCGTCGTGACCCGAAGTAATGGCTGCCGCGAACACCGCCAAGGTGGCGACAGCCCTCCCCTTGTCAAAGAGCTCCTGTAGGAATCCCAGGACCCCCTCCAGCGGGCAACGCCTGGGATCCCAGGAACGAAAACCGCACCAGTCGCTGAAGAGCCTCCACCTCGTGGCGTAGGCCCTCAATGTGGACGGCGCCCTCGCCCCCTGAGTGGTCTCCACCACCGCAGGGGGAAGACCCAGGCCTACGAGGTTCCGCCTCTCAGCCTCCAACCCAGAGCCTGCGGCCGATTTTCGGGCGTGAAACAGGGCTCCTCCCCCCCCCCCGGACTAGAGCCCCCGGCTCGTCCGGGAGGGCCCAGGGCTCCATCACCGCCATGCCCCTCAGGAAGGGGAACCACCGGGCATGCGGACTGTCCGGCGCCACCCGGATCACCGACCTCCTCTCCTGTTCGATCCTCCGCAGCAGGACCGGCAGGAGGCGCACTGGTGGGAAAGCGTACAACAGGCCGCCTGGCCAGGGGTAATGAGCCAGAGCGTCCACGCCTAAGGGCGGCTCGTCCGCGGCCCTTGAGGCGAACCAGGACGGGCACTGTGCGTTTCCTGCACTGGCGAAAAGGTCGACCACTGGACGGCCGAACCTCCGCCAGATCTCCGCAGCTACCCGTGGGGCCAGGCCCCACTCGTCCTGGAGTGGGCCCCCCCCTGGACATCCTGTCAGCCCCCACGTTCCGGACCCCCGGGACGTGGCGCGCCCTGAGAGACAGGAGGTGAAGCGCCGCCCACAGCAGCGTCACCGTCGCCATGCAATGAAGAGCGGGGGACCTGGTGCCCCCCTGCCTGTTCAGATAGGAGACCACTGCGGTGTTGTCCGAGCGCACCAACACGTGTCTCCCCTGCAGCTGAGGGGCAAAGTACAGCAGTACTCTGTGCACTGCCTCCATCTCCAGCAGGTTGATGTGACGGGCTGAGTCCGACCAGCAGCCTCCTACAGAACTCTGGCCGAGGACCCCGCCCCATCCTTCGAGCGACGCGTCCGTGAACACCTCCACGTGAGACACGGCGCAGGGCAGAGTCACTCCGTCCCGCAATAGACCCGGAGTGAGCCAGAACCTGATGTTCGATGCTGCCACTTGGGGAACCCAGACCAGCCTCCCCCCGTCCCGGGAGGGGTGAAGCCTGAGGCGTGAGAACCACCTCTGAAAATTCCTCATGTGGAGAAGGCCTAGCCGCACCACAGCATGAGCCGCCGCCCTCATTCCCAGCAGGGACCTGAGGCGCCGAGCGGGGACTCTGGGGCCCGCCAGAACCTCCCTGGGCAGACGGGTAGTGCTCATCCGTCTGTCCACGGACAGTGCAGCACGGAATGTCACAGAGTCTAGCTGCAGGCCGAGATAGATCATGCGCTGAGCCGGTTGCAGCCTGCTTCTACGTCATGGTGCTACGTCCCTTAGCGGACTTCGCTAGTGGGATAACACGTGCACCTAATCGTAGAACTTAAGTTACAATAGGTAACTATTAATTTTCTCCCTGTTCACCACAGAGCCCAGGCGCTGTATGTGGGACGGGACCCAGTGCGTGTGACACTTCCCTGGATGATGCCAGAATTAACCAGTCGTCTAAGTGGGTTAAAATTCTTACCCCAGCGCGTCTGAGGACTTTTCCACGCATTGGAAAAGTCCGAGGCGCGAGTGCATAAGTACTCGTAATTCCTCTCTCCCACTGCGAAGCGCAGAAACCTCCTGTGTTGTGGCACTATGGGCACGTGGAAGTACGCATCTGTCAGGTTTATGGAGGACATCTAGTCTCCCTCCCTGACACACTCGAGGAGCTGCTTTGTGGGCAGCATCCGAAACTTCCGTTAGGAAAAGC